TAGTAAAATAGAATTGCTGTGTCACATGAAGGTCATCTGAAGTTCACCTCTTGTCATACTTCAGAACCTACTGAGTTATGGGGCGTTATATGAATGAGGGTCCAGTCACTGGAATAGCGCTAGGAAAACAGGGTCCATTGATTATGATCAAAGCATATTCCCTAACTGCGGCTGCAAGTCTGGGTATTTTTATTTTCATTCTTCTGTAACAGCTAAAGAACTTCACAAATCTTCCAAGCTTATGAGTAAAAGATACAATTTCCGTCAGACTCTTTGAGTTCTAATATATTACTAATTCAGAAGTCAAACAACAAAAATCAGCGTTATACCTACAAAATTTTCACAGGACTAGTTTCGATGGTTTTACCGAACCATCATCTTCAGCTGCAAAACCGCAAGATTTTTGTTGTTTGACTTCTGAATTAGTATTTATTCGGCGTGTTATTGTGTCTTAATTATTCTAATATATTAAATCATCAAAAATACGTGTAAGGAATTTTTACCTTCCTCACAATATACATTCGTGGCATAATTGGAATACACGTTTGACTAGCAATTTGGAGTACAGAAGTTCATGTTCTGGTGAAGGCTTTGCTGATTTTTCATTCAACTTAATTTCATTTCATTTATCTTCTGACTCATATTTAATTATCTTCGAGTTGCAGTCCTAGGATAATGAGTCCAAATACCTAACCTAACAATTACGTTATATTTCATAGAAGTACTTCAAGTCAAATATATGTCTTACTTATCACAAAATAAGAGACGATTTTAAAATGGTATAGTTTGATAGTTCTACCCGTTAAAATTATTAATGATAGATTAGTGAAAACAACAGGCTCTAATTTAATGCCATTGATATGAATGACAATGAAGAAAAGTTTAGTAAATAAAAACTTGAAAGCGCATTTTCAAAGTTTTGTGTTAATTGAAAAAGACAAAAAAATTAATATTTATGGGTACATCTTGATACATAGTAATGATAATGCTGATACCTGATAATTCATGCATATAAGAAGAATATTGAATTTGCTTGGTCAAGTTTTGTATTTTGACCGAAATCGGTTTTAAGAAAGATTTATGTACATTTTCTTCAAGTTCGTTTCTTGAAATTCGTTTATTTAATCTTCGTTCCTGAAATTCGTTTATTTAATCTTCGTTCTTGAAATTCGTTTATTTAATCTTTAATGAAATTACACATGCATTTCACTATTCGATTTAATATGTTTATCACTCTTTCGAGGAATATTTTGCTGAATCCCTATAACTATATCCCTTAAGTACGAAGAAAGATTAAAAATTACATTTTCTTACCTAATAATTGGTTTGCAAATTGGATAGAAAAGGCTTTATAAATTAGTAACTCAATCCAGTGAAATTACTCCACTGCAGCGGAGTCAGCACTTCAGTAACACTTATTGTGCAATTAAAAATGTTACTTGTGCCATTGTTCAACCACATATGCGTCTTTATCTTACTTCCTCTGCAAAAGCTCTTATCAGAAAATGGTCTATACGTGAACTTGCTGAAACAGACATCACAGACATCTTTAATGCGGTCTTTTAATCCTTTAATGAACTTTGATGATTTCTGAAGTTCAATATCGTATTATCATTTGAAGTCTAATATAAATTCATACATTAATATAAATGTTAAGCAATAATAACGATCTGAAAATTATATAACATATGAGATTTTCGTTTTTCAATCTCACTTTAAATATTCAACAAGTTTAATTCGCTAATAATTAAAGAAGTTTTCCATTTGATTCAAATGAATAAAGAAAACAGATGAGGACATTCTGCCTAAGAGAGAGTTCTTCTTGATAGACTTTATAAGAGCAACTAACAAAAATTCATTGCAATGAGTTGAAAAGGAATTAAAAATTTTAAACGTAGAGTTAATCACGATAACCTTCACCAGTTCATTTAAGCCTTGGTTTGACTGACGATGCCTAGTGGACTTGGCCACTGGAAGGCCAAAGCTCTCCCGATTACAATTACTTCCAAAGCACGTTAATAATTACCGAGTATTACCGTAAATAATCACTATTTTGGAACTTAATTTCGATTATTAGGAAGTTTGTGGAGACATTAGGTTATTTTTGAAACAGGAAGAACTGAAAATGTGCAATGCCCTCCCCGAGAATCGAACCACGGACCTCTTGAATCCGCGTCGAGCGCGCTAACCACTACACCACGAAGGCACGCTAAGAAGGCAGAAGAAATACCTTATACACTCCCCCTTTTAAAGGGTGACTGGGGTGTAGAGGACCCAGTCGCCAAATCCTGGTGGTGAAGAATCATCATTTACCATCTATTCACCTTTTTTTGTTCGGCCACACTGTAGAAACATTAGATATTTTTTGTAAGCAGGAGACATGAAAAATGTGCAATGCCCTCGCCGGGACTCGAACCACGGACCTCTGAATTACGCATCGAGGCATGCTGAGAAGGTGGAAAAAATACCTTATAAGTTTATGCAAAAATTTTCTATTTTTTGTTACAATTATTTCAATAATACAATGCTTATTACAACCGTTATTTTAAGTAATAAGATATTATTTTTGGTCTTATTGATACTAGCTACGAAAGATAATAAGAGAAAATCAATTACTGGCTATGTAACACAGAGAATGAAGAAAGTGTCAAGAAAGTAATACTTTAAAATTATCATAAATTTTCTAAAAAAATTATGTTATTTTAAATATGATGTTTCAGAAGAGTGCGTTTAGATTTGTATCAAAGCTGCATATTAACTTTTTTCAGTGAAGTTCTAATTTTCGTACTTCAGTTGGGGCATGTATACAATGCTCCTCATGCGATGCCTTAAGAAGACTTTTCCGGAAGTTTTCAAGAACTATGTATTGAACTTGTTTGTCATGCGGCGAGATTTATAGAAATTTCATGCAATATGCTTCGCGGGTTGGTCATTATATTATATCAGCAGAAAGCAGTTTCCACGTGGATGGAAAATGCCATCAGTACAATACAAGAAATAAACTATGTAGCTGAGAAAATATAATTTTAGGAAGATTTAGGATAATTTATGACCCATTATTTAAGAACCGATTGCATAGAAAATTGCATTGAACTGAAGCTCAAAAGGTGCAGCCATTTTGAATGAACAACGACGTTGAAATGAATGTCGAATTTCTATACTCTTTAAGAACCAATCTGTGACTGGCATAGCATATATATATGTTATCAAATAAATGTTTCAACTATGCTGTGTAAGCTGTACTTGGCAAAATGATTTTTCCCATAGTATAAAATAACTAAAGGCAGCAACCCTTTTGATGTATTGAAATAAAATTGCTTAAGTCCTCGTCATGAGGGATACCAAAATGTTCAGTTCAGAGCAACAAGTAATTTTGTTATGTAGAGGTAATAATAAAATTTGTATAAAAAGAAATGGGATTTTTAGAAATCATGCTTTTATTTCTTGTTATAGCTTAATAAAAATAATTCATTAATACATTTGGGAGTTTTCTTTTCATATTTGTATGAGAAAATAGGCTATGGTTATTTTAAAAGTCTAAAGGAAAGACTTCTTGATTCATATGATAAATTTAATTTTATATATAATGTACACTCCTTTAATAACTCTCAAATTTATCGAAATTGGATAAATGCTAAATTTACTTCACAGAAGATCATTGGTAACAACAGTTCATTGCACGTATAATAAAATCAAGAACAGAAGTTTAAAACAGCAAGAAAGTTATGTGCATATAAAAGAATATTAAGTACAGGGTGCCTGAAAATAATGATGAAGTTTGATAATAGCTAAAGTACTCGTAAACAGTACTAAATATGCTCTGAAAATGTTTTACAGCTATTAATAATCATACATTCTGTAAAAGATTAAAATGTTTTGCTGTAAACGACATTAATAAATTACTAAAGTACTCGTAAACAGTACTAAATATGCTCTGAAAATGTTTTACAGCTATTAATAATCATACATTCTGTAAAAGATTAAAATGTTTTGCTGTAAACGACATTAATAAATTAAAGTAATATTCATATATAATTTGCGTGGAGCTGCAACAGTCATTATTTGCTTCCGGTGAAAATAAGGGGAGTTTTTTACTCTAAACGTTTACCTCAAAGGAAAAAAGAAGTGGGTAGCTTCAATGTAAATTATTTTCCTATAAAGTAAAAGAGAAGGGATCATCATTTCACTGTAAATTCTCCTTATAAATTTAAAAGGTAAATTATCGTTTTACAGTAAAATATTTTCGCCGAAAGGTTTAAATGGTATGTGATCTGGGCTTCTTGGGGTATAAGGAAATTTTTCCATTCAGTTCCTTTTCCTAGAAAATGATAGTTTAAAGCCTCTTGCAATCAATCTAAATCAGCGGTTCTTAACCTTTTGACTAATGTGTACCATCTAAACAAAATCTGAAAACCTTTAGCACCACCACTCTTGAACAAAGCTCAGATAGCATAAATTTACGAGTGTTAGAGAAAAACCTCAATCAAGATGTTGGGGTTTTAATTTTTGAATTTAATAGTTAAAAATACTTTGCATCTTTGCGTACCATCTATTTTTTCTTCCGTACCATCCGTTGAGAACCCTTGATCTAAATCCTAATTTCCATGATATTAATCTAGACTTTCAACTTGCAGGGAAAGGTATGCTTCATACTGCCTGGTTATATGTAAAGAGTAACTTCAATTTCTTTTAAGACACCCTGCATTCGAATTCAAAAGAACTATTGATAAAAATTAAAATATTATTTGTATCACATTGCATATAATAAATTTACTCATTTTTATTAAAATAAGGAAAGCAAATAGTTCAATTAATAATGATAATAAAAACCAAAAGATCTGCAGTGTTTGTGAATTTTTGTGCTGTTTAATAATTATTAGCGTCAAAGAAAGAAAAGCATTAGGAAGGAAAATTAAGTGCAAATGTGGCAACTATGAAAGCTGTGACTAACTTACAGGAAAGAATCTAAAATGCTAAGCAAAACGCTCAGGTGGAAATACCTTTTCAATGATTTCTTTAACCAACCCACTCCATTCTCCAGTCGTCGTATTTTCAGCTCCAAATTTGTTGTCTGGCACCAGATAGAGGTCATAGTTGAATCCCAGTAAATCGGAAATGGTCCTTAAAAGATCGATGCAGAATCCCTCAAAGCGCTCGTTGCCGGTCAAGTTCCGATCGCTTTTGAGCATCACATAAGGCGTGGACTGAGGAAGGAGAGGACAAAGCGGTAAAAGCAGTGAGGAAAAAAAGAGTAAGAAGGCTAAGAAGATAGCAAGAATAAAAGCATTTCCTTTTTTGCACTAGGTAACCTGCTGAAAGCAATTTTTTGTGGAAAATATGGGTACCACAAGGTTATAAAGATTTTTAAAAAAGTATTTTGTGTATTTTTTAAAAGGCTGAAATAAATGTCTGAGTGCAAACTGCGAAGAACTTCCATTAACCGATTATAGATATACCTAAAATGAGGGTATTGATTCGGACAGGAAGAGAACCAGTAAAATAGTAAAACATTAGCTAAGACGAAGAAAAAAGGAGACAGAATTTGAAAATAATAAAATATACTGGAAAAACGACGATTTGAGGAAAATAGTCTGATGATGTCCCTTATAACAGTTTCTTCATGCCTAAATATTAAGGCTGGATTTAACATTTGCTTTTATACCTGAATTTATGTAACATATTTTGCGTCCTTGAAGAGAAGATAATATCAAAAATGTCTCTAAATATTTTTTATAGAGATTAGGTAATTGTCATGTGTCTCTTACAAACTTAATTTACTACTCTTATCAGTCTTTATACTAACTATCAGTCTTTATACTAAAATCGTATAGTATCTATTAATTACGAAGAGAGAAAAATTGCATCTTGCCGTTTATTTTAACTATATTCTCTTTCATTATATCAGAAGAAACATTTTGGACTTCTGCATATATCAGTGAAATATGAAATAGGTTCGGTTAACAAGTTTCCGCAGTTTGCTCCCAATACATGATCGGAACTGTCATATTGCCCTTTCTTAATCTTCCCTAGCTGTGACCCTCACTGACCTTCTTTAGGAGTTCTGCCACCATGCCATTCCATTCTCCACTGGTTGGATCGAATGCTCCATACTTGCGGTCTGGCACAAGTTCGATGACATAATTGAAATACAACTGATTTGCAATGGCCTTCAGCAAATCGATACAGAAACCATAGAACCTTTCGTTGCCCTTCAGTTTCGGATCATCACGCACCATCACGTATGGATCTGCCTGCACGAGGGGATGAGGGAGACAAAACTAATGCTTCAAGAACGCAAAATTCAATGTCTTTATATGCTAGAAGTGTGCAGTGTGATAAAATGTTTGAAGCCCAGAGGTTAATGGATACTATTATTGTAAAATCGTATAGTATCTATTAAACTTTGGGCGTTTACCTTTTTACTAAAGTACAGAGTGCCTATAATCAAAGAAGTTTATTTCAAAGTTCCTACAAGCGAAACCAGTGATTAGAAAATTGTGAAATTTTGCGAAAAAACATTTAGTTACATAAAAGCGTCGCCAGAGGGCGTTTTGCATTGAAAACCTGTTGTAAAAATGCAAATATTTGTCGACGTTATAAAACCTAGAAACATTCCAGGAGATTTTGTTTTCAATGCGCATATTGCTTACAATGAAAAAGAGTTTACTAGATCGCGCTTTGTTAGTAACATTTTACCAAAACGGTAACTCCGCAGTAGCTGCTCTACGGAAATTTCGAATTTGAAGAGGATTCTAAGAGGTCTAATAAATGTTAAAAACCTTCGGAAAATGAAGAAGAAATTTGAAGATCACTTTATATTCGTCCTGAAAGAGGAAGAGAATGTCTGCAGTACAGGGGGTTGCGTTGTAGGTCGTAGAAGACACAGCTTCAAACTTTCAGGCAGCATCAGTGTCCGGCATGCAGCAGAGGCGCTGGATAAACCACGTTCAGCTCTTTATAAAACCTTGCGGAATAATCCTCCGATATTATCCTCACAAACTTTCACTGGTGCATCGATTGCTTCCACATGATTTTGAAGTTCGACTCACTTCAGTTTCTCACTTCAGTTTCTTGTTCGCAGTGAGGCTGATTCAGAATGGCCTAGAAATATCCTCTAGACCGGCGGTTGCCAACCTTTAAACTTTCATGCACCACTAAATGTATAATTTCTCATTTGGCGGACAGCTAATATGAGTTTAGAAAAAAGATGGTAAAGACATTTATATAATAATAATTAGAAAACGTATTTTATTAATGTGAAATGCACCCATTAAAGGTAACAGAGTTATAGACTAATTATTTAAAAATGAACAAATTTAGGTTTATTTAAACATTACACATTTTTAGTGTGATATTTATTGCTGTTTGTTTGTAATCACTTTGTGGATTTTTTGTTCTAGTGATATCACTGCAAGACAAAGAGCCACGTTTATTTCAAGCCGAGACCTGACCCGAGTTTTAACAGCTGTTACAGAAGAAAACATCTTTTCGCACAAATATATTGCTGCAAATTGAATCAAAAGTTTCATAGCTTTTCCACTCAGTGATGGGTATTCATTTTTTATAGAGAGGCAATAATGAAGTCTTTATAAAGATGACTAGAGTTTAGTTTTTGAACTGTTTCGGAAGACAGATCTATTTGGCTCTCTTTTTCATTCATGCTTAATTTGCTATTTTCCGTGATTGCTGAAAATGAATCTCGATTATCCACATATTTCCTTACCTAGGATCTTCCAGCCTTAGGTAATAAAAACCAAAACATTCTGTCAATGACTAGAAGTGCTGTTGAATGATGGATACCACTTACTGGTTGAGATCGTTCTCTCCCATATTTTCATTAAAATTAATGATCATTTTGTAGATTGCTTTCTACAGCGTTTGCCACAGTGATATTTATTGAAAAACATATATTTTACTCGTACTGTAAACACGTGACTAAGTTGCCCTTGCGTATGTTTAATTCGGTTAACAGAGGAAAACCGTCTGACAGTAATGTCAGTATTTGGCCCTCGAAAGCCATCTCACCTCAGTGTGAAGCAAATAATCGAGAATTAAGCACTTTGTGTCGAATTTCATTTTTGATATTAATAACGTCTGGTAATATTTGGTGTAGTTCTGGGGACATTATTTTTCACCACAAGATGCTCACTATGTGTAATGCTGTGAGTAGGCAGAAAGTCTGGGCGACTAACATTTTTCATCTTTGCAACAAAGCCTGAGGGATGTACAGTCATGTAGTCATTTCTTCAATTTTGGGCCTTATTTCTGTACAGCCTTTTTTCCAAAACCTCTTCACAGACTTGAATAATTCTTCTCCGATCGTATATGGCCTTTTGGTTTTGTGTATTTGAAGTGCTATTAGATAGAAAGCCTTTGATAGGGACTCATCTTAAACAACCATATTTTTAAGGTACCTACTTATTTTTGCATATTTTCACACATTAAGTAGTTTCTTAGCTAAATCTGGGTGTTTTGATTTCAAGTGTCTTTCGAGTTTTGAAGGTTTCATGGCAGCATTAGCTAACCTCTGAGAACAGATAATACCGAAAGGCCGTTGATTCAGCTAACTACCAGGTTCTGGAATAAATCCAAATTTCAATTAGTATTAAAACACATTTTTTGTTATTTTGGGATTTTCCTTTGCGCTATCAGTTTGAACATTCTTTCTAATACTGTCTGACCGTGACGAGGAGTTTGGATGCGTTGATTCATTGATCATCTATCTGTTAAATTAAGTAATACTATTTTCATTAGTTATTCTATCTTTAGTTTTACTAAAGAAATGCAAAATATTCGCTTACTTTTTTTCACTCATTGTGCGTCCATTATCTATTTTATTTGAATCTGCGGACCATCAAAAAGTTTTTACGTGAATTTTTTGCGTCATTTATTCTTGCCTCATATTTTTTTGAGGAGCTAACTTCCGAAGGTCCAGTAACAAGCTCCATCACCAGGCAGCAACAGGCATCGCTCCTAGAAAACGTAATTCTGCAAGCACGTCAGTGCCTTGCATGAACAATCCTAATGCAAGATGGAGCTCCTCCACACATTGTACGGTGTATGACGAATGTTTTTAAATGTCCTTTTACAGAAGAATGTGTCATTAGATGACACTTTCATAATGTGTGGCCTCCACGATCACCATACCTCAATCCATGCGATTTTTGGATTTGGGGGCATTTGGAGCATCTGGTGAGTCGTGACAATCCAAGAACTTTACCTGATCTTAAAGGCATTATTTCACGCCACGTGCTGAACATTTCCCAGCACACACTTCAGTCAACTGTGGAATATGCCATTTGCGATTTCGGTTGGGAGCTGAAAATGATGGCCATACTGTGAAACATATTTTTTTAACAAAATTTGCAAAACTGCAAATCTATTGTAAAGGTGTGCCTAAATGCATAATTTACTAATATAATGCCCTGGTGATGCTATTTGGAACTAAGTTTTTCCTTAAAAGAAATTCGCATCCCTTCATTAACTCTCCCACAAAATTTCACAATTTTCTGATCACTGGTTTCACTTGTAGGCAGTTTTGAAATAGGGTTCTTTAATTAAAGACACTCTGTAATTTATTCATAAAACGAATATAATATTCGGAGCACTACAAAGTAATAAATACACAATAATCATTTTATTTCAATTTTTGTTAAATTTCCATACTTTTAACACGAAAGAAGTCTTTCAGGCACATACACGTGCTTTAACTGGACGTAGAATCAATCCCGTTTTAGAAATTTCAGGAACGAATAAGAATATGAGAACATATTTTAATAGGAAATCACATAATATTTCGTAATTTAGAAGAGTTCTCGATTCAAGAATACTTTGCTCAAAATGTAAAAATTGCGGAAGACAAAATCTGATTATTTATTTTCAGCATTTTAAATAATAGTTTGTACATTTTAAAAATCATTCTCTACCAGTTATTTAGGTACCAGTTATTTACAATTTTTCTGTTTTCCTTTTAAAAACTTACTTGAATGTTTAAGTTGAATATTAAATTCACATTACATCTTAATCTTTATTTTATAACTACTTGTATAATAATGACACAATGAATACAATAACGTTGAAGAATTTAATTTGCTTATATATTAATATTTACTTTGTATTAATACTTATTTACATTTGATATATGCAGTATGATATATCTTAAAAATCTGCATTATATGCATTACACAAAGTGTTTCAAAATACGTAACTACATGCTTTATTTTCTTAATTATTGTTATCAGATATATACATACAGTTATAAAAGTTTCTAAAAACAAAGCTAAAAATTTCAGGAAAACAGTTTCAGCACTGACAGTAATTGAGTTCTATGAATGAAAATTGTATTTCTCATAGGGTTCTCGCAGAGCAAAAAATACATGCTAAAATATTCGTTAAACTTAGTATAAAATTCAGAGTTATTAATGAATAATAATTTAATGGTGCCATCTACGAAGTAAATATGAAATGCTGTTTTATCTGATACAAAATTATTACTCGCCAAAGAAGCAGGTCTTATTTTGCAACTTCTCGTTAACTCTGGTTTATAGAAATACCTCAGGAAAAATTGTTAACAACATTTGCAGTGGATTGTATAATTAGTTGAAATGACTGAAAACTTAACAACGTTTTAAAATCAAGCTGAAAGCTTAACAACGTTTATTGATTAACATCTGCCCATTGAAAGGATAGAAGAAGATATGAATTATTTATTACAGTAAAAACTGCCTCCGCTTTAGCTTGATAAAAAAATTCTGAAAAACATATGTAAACAATGTTTTATTAAATAAATGATGTTCAGATGAATATCTATGAAGTAACTGATACACTTTAATTCGAAATAAAAATAACTAAGCATAATGAAAGATACAATAACAGGTGCAGGTAGAGCTAATTACTAAAAAATCAAAAATCATAATACAATAATTACGAGCAGCATAATTAAAAATACTTTATTAAATGAATGAAACAAATGTTCAGGTGAGTATTCAAAAAAGTAACTGATACATCGTATCGTTGTTCCAAATTTCATGTACAGTTAAAGTGATTTAATTAGAATACTAACCTTTCAATACCTCAACAGGCTAACCTTAATCTAGAATAGAAGAAAACATTTGAGATAAAGTATTTATATTTGAGATAAAATGAAAATTATATTGGCAATTCAAGGTTTATGATAAGTGTTCATAAATGTTATTCGAATGTTTTAGTTGTATTAAATAATTCAAAATCTAAATTCTCCAAATCTTGACAATATTTTTGCACTCTTTAATAGAGTTTGTAACTGGTTTTTATCTTATAAGCGGCCACGTTTGTAAAAGTTTCTATAAATTCCTATTTCTATTTTATTTACGAATGCATATAATTATGCTTTAGTGCTGAATGCATATTGGAAATATCATTGTTTCCTACAAAGGTATCGCACATATTTTACGACATAAGAAAAAGTTCAAAAAGTACGTTTATCATTGATAGCTATATATTATTGATTATACTTTACTTATATACATCAGGTTACTGCCTCAAAGATACCAAATAACATTGCTTACTAGTTTCCGCTTTACCTGTCTGTGTTTATGCATTTCCTTTACTTCTAGGACTCTAGAGCCACGATGAATAAACAACTGAAAAGCGAAATGCCATATACATATACCGTATATTTTTTCTTGCTTAAATATTTTTTAATAGTTCTGGTAAAGAGATTTCGATGGCCGTATATTTATTAACAGCGAACTAAAAACAAATGCGTTTTGGTCTTGATAAAAAGCTATTAAGGATGCCTATGTTTTTTATAATACTTGCAAAATAGTTGAAATCCTAAATTAGAATATATAAGAATTAATACTAACATAATATTAAGTAGAACAATTTAGTGACATGTCTATTACATTTGTTTCAAAATATCATTTAAGTGTCTTCAGTCTATGACTTCTGTCCGTTTCAAATTTAAGTATGCAGGTAAATTCCATTGTTATTGTTTGTAGAAATCTGCTCTAGATTGTGACACGCATTCACGAAGTATTTGAAACTGAATACTGATATTTTCATATTATACATGTAATTGATTTTCGAAAACGTATGAAATTTAATAATGTTATTCTCATTTATATAATCTTAAGTCTGCATATCTATGAAATTCAAATACGTACTTAAACATGCATTATATTATAATAATTTACATTTTATTATAATTTACATTATTATAAGTTATTTAACAGGACTAAAGACTTCTGACAGCTATGTACGCAAAATATTAAAATATTGCATGAATAAAGTGATCAGTTTAAAACACTTAAATAAGGAACTATTTTCAGAAACAAATTTAAGTTGGTTTCAAAAACTGTTATGCACGTTTTCTATAAGAACTGTTTCACTGGACAACCATTAAAAGTGCCCATCAAATTCCGCTTTCAGAAAGGAAAAATTAGTTCCTTGTTCAATGCTAGTTCACTTCTAATTTTCGAATCGTCATCTTCTGGCTTACATGCAAAACCTTTTGTAACCACCAAGTAACATTCCGTTTCAGAGGAACAGTTAATGGATTTCTGACGAGCTCAGGCAAAGGTTAATGCCTGAAAGAGCATTCCAAATTTTAGGATTTCAGTAAGCGGAACTCATCGTCATTAACTTAAGCATCGCTTTGGAGTTGATTTTGCTCCATAAAGGACTAAGATCTTCTCTGAAATTTTGTTTGCGAGAACGATTACGAATTAAATTCGGAATGATACAAGAAAAGATTTGCGCGTCAAGTATCTTTAATGATTTAAAGAAAATCTGATAAGGATATTGCAAGAATTAATGAGAGTTTTATAGATAGAGTTCAAAGCTGCAGGCTACCATTACTTCAGTTTCCTATTAATTGTAATATTTTATAGGATGAATATGAAAATGACAGATGATAAAATTAATTTCTTTTAAATATTGTAAAGGTTGAAAGTTTAAAAGCTGGACTTCTTTGTTTTCTCTTTCTTCGGTTAAAAATATTTTAATAATTCAGAAAAAAAACCATATACAATTTGAGGTTTGAAAACAACACACAGCAGTATCGTTTTAGCAATTAAGTTATACCTGCACCTGTTATTGCCTCATTCGGTATGCTTAGTATTCGATTATTTAACATTTCAGATACTACACCACTAGTAGATTTGTGTATTGCTGGTATCTCAAATTTCACAATAATTGACGCTTTATTTCTTTCAGGATAACATTTATAACATTCTGTGTAATTCTCATATTCCACCGTCTGTCGACTGGGAGCAATCCTCGCATTCTGCCTAAAATCTGTACTTACACAGACTCAGCTCTTGGATAAATAGATCATCTTCACTAAACTAGAACCACCAACAATTCAGTGGTCCGTTCAGGCTCCGTAGAGACCCTGCTGAAATGCTGATGTGTTTTGCTCGGAATAATCTCAATTTACATAACTAAAGCAGACAAGAATAAGATAGTCAGATATAGAAGAAAGTGTATATTTGATTTAAATTCATTTCACCTAATCTCTGAAACATGCTCTGTTAAAGAATGAACACGAAAATTTTTTTTTCCTTAATTAAATTAAGAAACCTGCTTCTACAACCTTGTAAAGAAATTTTTTAATAAATATTTATTCGGATGATTAGTTATACAAGTTATAATAAAATACAGAAAAAATTTAATACTGAATATTTCGGAAGGACAAAGTACAAACGAATACGCCAAGTATTAAATATTTAATTATAGGCTACTTGGGTATTTAGAAAGTTATTTTGGAAACCAGATATTTGTAATTAAAATAAGGTAAGTGCATATTTTGGAAATAAAATATTTATAATTAAAGTATAAGTGCTTGAATTTTAATTACACGGGTGGCAACACGTTTTAATTGTGGTAATTCCTTCTGGAACTTTTAACGCTTTATACCAGTACATAATCTAACCGCAAACCAGTTTTTCTCACAAGGGTCTACCTAGACCTATCATAAATAAACTTGCTAAAAGAAAAATTGCTTTATTTTAGCAGACTGATTTATTATCTGTTTTACTAAATATGATCTACTAAAATAAACTATGATCGAAAGTCAAGAATCTGTTATTGTTACGAAATTCTTAATCTGTTACTGAATTTAAATCTGCACAAAACATATCGAATATATTTTCTAATATATTTACACACTTTGACATTTTCTTACACATCAGGGAATTTTGTTCCGCAGATAATACTCTAATCCCTAATTAAATATTCATGAAATGCTTTACTGTTACATATATTGTAATTAAAATAAGTTAAAGATGACAACTTACCTCTATTGTTGTGACACGTAGAGTAATATTTGTGGTTCCAAACTCGTGAAAAGCTGCATGATTTGTGATATTTAATCCATTATTGGTGGACCATTCTCCTACCTAGAAATAAAATAGAAATCATAGTAATAATACCTAATTAAATAAATATAAACAATAAACATAACTAAATATAAAACTTCAGATTTAAAAATTTTATATTTAAAATTTAAAAATACCTTTTCCATATTATTTTGTCGCAACTTTAACAAATCCAGCTTTAAATTGCTACGACGTCCTTCTTTGAACTGGATTTTCCCCGTCAAGCCTCGAAATTCTACCTAGAATGAAATGATGAATCGTGTATTTCTAAAACTTAGAAAGAAACAAAATGGTATTACGATTAAAAGTCTGTAATCAAAGGTCTCAGATATTCAGTTTAAAAAAATAAAATGTGAATTAAATGCAAACAGATAACCCATGTGTTTACACATTAACAAAAGTATGATCTTAGCAATTACTGCATCCCGCTAAAACAAAATGAACAAATCACTCTGGTTCGTATATATGAATCTAGTTTAATATGAGCTTCAATTTTTTGGAATCAATCCGATTTGTACAGTATATTTCTAATAAAAAAATTTTACTATGTCGTAGTATTTTTCATAAAATTAAGTTTTAACTGCTAGAAAATGTAAACGCTATGAAATTGAAATTAAAAGTAAGCTTAATTAGTATAATAAAGTATTTAATTTTCAACTCAATTTACAGAGTATAAGACAGCTTCAGTTTATTATAATTACAGTTATATCCGCAACATTAGAAAGGAGTAGTGTAACATTCCTCTTACCGACAGTTTGCGGTAAGTGGATTTACTGAAAAGATTATTGAATGTTAAGAAAGCTCGTAAGTAAATTAATTATTATGACTAATTGAAAGATTAAATTAACGTAATGCCTTCTTACAGAACTTTCTCACAAAGACACTATCCCATATTATTTTCTATGCGGGCAAAATTTAAAAAAAATCATATTGTTTTTCTACCCTGGAAAAATCAGCGAAACGTTCATAACAGCAACAGCCTGCTTTACTACATATGATATGCTCAAGATAAACCTTATGTTCAGGATGTGTCATGCTAGAGATCATTTAACTATTATTATATGTAAGTTTACAAAATTTTAGCACACTTAAAAATCTTTAGCACACTTAACAGTTTGGCTTTCTACATACAGTTGCTATTTTTTTATTCTCTGAGTTGAACGCTATCAAAGTAAATAAACTAAAAAACGATAAGCAAAGGCAATTAGTAGACATGTTTCGGCTTCAAAGACTTAAAATACCTGCTTTAAATTTCAAATTTATTCAATAAGGCTAAGCTGAAAAAATTAGTAAGGTAATACAAAATCATGCTTTATTTATTTTCAGATCGCTTCTGAAAATATTATTAAATGTATTATGTATGATGAAATTATTATTAAATGTATGATGAAATTCAGCCTATTCTAGAAAACGTATATCACTTTCTATGATGTAAATCAACATTGCTTCCTTTATTTTCTTTCACTTCTGCGTGATTGTAATTTTCAGATTGTTTAGCTATATTTGTGTATGAAACTATAAATATTCATTCTATTTTCCCAAATTATCATTATTTTGTGTGTATATGTGTAGAGTTATTTAGTTTTGGAGTACAATATTTACAATACACACTTCGAAAACATTTGAGGATTCAATCACGTTTTTGAAGAAAAGTATATGTTGCAAGCACATTTTTAAATAAATATTGAAATACATGTGTCTGCGCAGTCCCATAAACATAAACCACTAGCATTGGCTTTCAAAACTATTTTAGAAACTTTAAAAGAAAACTATTATCTCAAACAGTGCTAAATTTTCAAATGTTTCAATATTCAGAAGTAAAAGAAAATCGCTTTTCTGAGGAGTTTTTTCAAATGGTGCGGTCTTCCCAAATTGCTAACATTCGATATTCTGCTACGAAAGACCTTCCCCCAGACGAACTCGCACAAGCTCGAGCATTATTATTCATAAAAAGAAGCATATCAATGGCTGAAACTTACAGCAAAACAAGATGTCTAAAGATCATAATCCTTTACCTTCCATAGCTATACTGCCATTCTGGATAATATGCATTACCGTATGTCTATCTCTATATATTCTTGTCAAAAGAACCAGTAATCATTGTCTATTTAGTGAGATTTTCTCTCCATATGAAATGCTGATGACCTTTGTCTCTAAACAAAATATTGAGACGTCTATGAAGAGAATTAGAAGTCACTTTATACTACATCAACTGTGATGTTTATCTGCTCAATTCCTTTGCAGCATACGATATATTATGTATGAAGGAACGGAAAATAAATTTTTACTTGCATACAAACGATATCGATGAACGTAATTTCATACAGTTTGGCTCCGCAATTCTCCTCTTGTACCTTAGGAAATTCCCCTTAGCAGGTAAGTATAATTATTTGCTCTAATTCGACAGGCTGATATCAACAAAAAACAATCATCGTTTTCTGTTGATGCACTTGACCGTCTTTGACCTGACTTTGTAAGAATGTCTCCATAGTCTGGAATCATCTCCAAAGTAAAGAAGTTACAATCGGAGACATGTCAATGTCATTTTCTACTTGGTTTTACTATTCCTCTATTTCTAGGTGACCAGTTGCTTATTAAGCGAGTGATTCCTGCAAATCGGAACGTCGAAATATTCCTCGAAATCGTTCTACAAATCTAACATGGTTAAACCTAATATTATGCGATATAAACAGCGCAATACCAATTTTCAGTCCACTGTCATTTTTTGAGCGCTGGCAGGTATGCATTATTATGTCACTGATTCTGTTTCGCGTAGAACGTTTCTTAAGTCACTGAAACCCTCTTCATTATGCCCACCAGCGGCAGAGCGGTAAAGACGCTGAACACTGGTAGTTCGGTCCGAGGTTCGAATCACGCGAACGGGCTGGCTGCATGAGCGGTTTCGTGGTTTTCCCCATGTGTAACGTGTATACGATCTAGTTTCCCTTAGAAAAACCTCCACGAAAGCATCCCTCCCTTTAGGCAGATAGCCCTTGTGTGCTTTGCCGTAATCGAATAATCCAATCCAATCCAATCCTCTTCATTACATTGTAATCATATTTTTCACGTTAGCTGAGCATGGTATTGTGAAAGCAATATATTTCGATATGGAATACATACGCATCACATAAATACATTGCACAGTTTAAAGAAATGCTGTCGTTTTATTCGTACTTTCAGGAAGGGGTGAATTAGCAAACCCAGGCAAATTAGGCATAAGTTTTTAGATAATATTAATTTATATATATATTAGAATGCATTTATCCACCGGTACGACTAGAATATTTAATTTTTTGATGATATGTATAATATACATCACATATTATTACAAGGCATTGTATTAAACAAATGAATATTTAAAGATTTATTTTTATTTAAGTTGTTGAAACAGCAAAGTGTAATTAAAAATGTTCACACTAAGACTAAAGAATTGAATAAGAACAACTAAAAAATCTCCGTATAATTCATGCATCAAAATTAATTTATTTTATCTGAGGCATACTTTTCATTTCAGCATTCACAGTCCAATCCTCCCATAATCATTATATTTGTGAATTTGTTCAAAAGACGCCGAAAACATTTATTACTTAGCTTAGTATAACCAATAGACACAGAATCTCGGTGACTAATTAATAAGATTTGCTAGTTGCATGTTCTGTTCACGCATTGAAAATGATTGTAACAAAAACCACGATTCCCTTGGATGAACGTTAGTATTATCTTTAATTCAGTTCTTTATTGTTGTCGTTCCTTTAGTATCTTTATTTCAGACAACTTTCCTTCAACGTTTTCACTAAAGCCATACTGAAATAGTGTCAATCGTTCTCTTTGTAATTTTAATGCAATTATTACATTCCAAAATTCTATTTCTCAGCAGGTATTTAATTCTATGCAGAACATATTACAAGAACTATGGTGTATTGGTGTATTTAATTATGGCAAAGCACACGAGGGCTATCTGCCTAAGGGGAAGGATGCCTTCGTGGAGGACTTTCTAAGGAAAACGTGCTCGTATACACGTTACACATGGGGAAAAACACGAAAACGCCCATGCAGCCAGCCCGTTCGCGGGATTGGAACCTCGGACCGAACTACCAGTGTTCAGCGACTTTACCGCTCGGCCGCTGGTGGGACATAAAACTATGAGTTATGTATTGAAATATATAGCGCCATACCATTCTCCATTCTCGGAGGTATCCGACAAAATCTACTTTCTCTACGACTGATAATTTATTTCCTCGTGAAGAGATGGATTTACAGCTAACGTGGGGGTTTTGGTTACGTTATAAATTATTCCAGAGATATCAAATACATAATTGTATTTTAAAAACAAATTGGCAAGATTAAAATTTAAATTTTCTTTACCTAAAAAGAATTAGGTAAATTGTGCTATTGATGATACTATTTTGTGTAATATAATATAATAATATGTGGCGTATTCTGTAATGATTAGTAAACACGAAAGTTTTCTTTAGGAAAGAGGTTTCACAGTTCTCAATATTTACTTTCCATGCACTGAGATCACTCTCTTCCATTATAACGAATACACTATTTATTGATAAAAATGAAGAAGCATTAATTCGAAAATATTTTGAGTGACTAGCTGTTCGGCTGCTGCTGAAAAAATGCGACTTTTCTCTATTTTTCCGTCAATTGGGTTTGACTACTTTCTTAATATTCTTCTCCTTCTTTTTACTCTGTCTATTCAAGTTCTTTCGAATCATATTATCTTCAAAAATAATATCAGATTTCAAATACGGAAGTTCTAAAATTTCTTTCTCCTGATGAAGAAATTGTTTGTGCTAGTGAAACAGAAATGAGATTTTGTTTTTAAAGGATACAATGTCCTTTCCTCGCTACCAGAAGGACCTCTTGAGACATTTCGAAATCTGAAATTCCTTTCAAAACTTACTTTAAAATTACTTCCGCTAAATTCCCAAATACGTCTTGATTTCATTTATGGCACAATTCTTACAGTTCCAGTATATAACGCAATAGCAATGACTTCAGGTATTTTAAAATAAATTTTCTAAGAAATTCTTCTCCCTGCAGATGTATTATTTTCATTTTATTTTTGTAATAAACATGAAACTTTCTTTCTCGTTAAATAAATTTAAGAATAGTTTCATAATATCTTACCAATTACAATACCGTTTGGGCAATGAGAAATTGTAGAATCCGTAATCTTCTTATACAGTAATTCATTCTCTCCAGAGTTTTGTAATCTTCATGGAGTTTATTGGCAAAATGGAGTGTTTTCGTTTTGTTTCATTTTCTTCTGAGGCAGAGGAAAACGTATCACACTTAGCACTTTTACTACATATATTTGTTTGATGACTTTTTATCCGTATTAGACATCCAAATTTTAATTATGTAATACTTTGATGCTTTGTACGTAGAGACATGCTCTTCTTGACTGTTATTTTTGACATCCGATAAACACGATAATTTTTCAAATAATAGTGAAAGATCCCTGTTGAAATCTAAAACTCTAAGAACATTTGAATCCGAGAAATGGTGAAAAATGTAGCGCAATAGAGAAAGGGATGAGAATTTCCCATTTCTATGATAAGTGTTTTTAAACTAAGTGAAAAAATTGAAGTCATTTTGCAAATGTACATTTTATGAAACAGGTTTGTTTATATAAATGGTGCATCATTTCATCACGATACTTGTTTGTCATAAGTTTTTAAACATTATTGTAACATGTACGGATACAGAAGTTTTTGATTATCATAGAAAACTGCACGTGCATTAGAATTCAGGTTTCTTCAGAATAGCGATTTCATTGAGTCACATTTTTCTTGCAATTCAATATCAAGTAAACACTTAGGACATGCATCTGGAATGTTTGGGGATTCATAGAAGCATTTACAGAACGGCAATATGCGATGATTGTGGCATGGATTTAAACTATGGCCTTGTATCCAGATTTCAGTGTTGCTTTGTTTTGATAACCCTAGAAATGATGTCTAACATGAGTCAGTGGTCGCTAAGGGGCCGAAGCAAGAGGTCGTTTTTGGACAGTGGAGAGAACGGATGAAAAAAGACAATAATAGAAGCGGCTATCGTTCCGACGAGTTTCCTTTAACATTTCTCTCCAATATAGGGTTTACCTGACCATTGTCAGCCATGGAAGAAGGTCTTCACTTTTTCCAAGTATTTAATTCTACGGAATGTTAATTAGAAACTGGAAATCGGTAAATTATCATCCTGGATTTATCCGGAGATCTCAGTATAGGAATTTATTAAAAGGAATCACTGATTTGTTATTTATATGTAATTAACTGCACAGTGTTAACAGGCTAAGGTTTCATGCTGGAAGTCAGGCAAGTGGGGAAGCACTATGCTTGAATAATTTCATACTGATATACGTAGTTAATGAGCCATTTAAGGCTTCATATTTATACTCAAATGACTGGTGAACTGTAATTCATAAAAGTAATGTCACTGAATAATTTGAAACTGAAAAATATAATTAACTGTCAGATGTTAACGAAATTTAGTCTCTCTTTAGTGATTTGGAAAATTGTAAAATGGAAAATGTTGTGAAGAGTTGATTGATGGAAACTAAATTTTCTGTAACATCATCCTTAAAGATAGATGATTAACTAAATCTTATCCTCTCAGAAGAAATAAATATATTTAAGCTGTTCATATTATATTAATCTTGTAAAACTTTGTATTGAAAGAAGATGTGCTGAATATAGTTAAATCCGTGATTCCAAATTTAATTTCAGGTGGCTACCTCCCAGATGTTACCAAAGATATGTCAGTATTGTTTTCCTTTTTATGTGATACCAGACCTGACATTTATGAAACTTCGCCTAGGAGCGTATTGTAGTATCAAATACTAATTTCTAAAACAAATGCTTTTTGTTTTCTATTCAAACGATGTAAATGCCGTGGTATATGAGAAGGCACAAACTTCACGAAGAATTGCATAAGACTTCTACTGTCGAACAGATTGAAAATTCTACAAAGATCAAAAACAAATCAAGAAACCAGTTATCAGGGTATGTGATTATAATGTTAATGACCTAAGTTCCAGTAAAAGACCTATGACCATTCTTAGTAATCATTTAGACTAATTTCTGCATTATTTTCGTGTGTGTGTGTATGTGTTTCTCTTATGTATAGTGTGCCTTAAATATATTATTCATGAATATTTTAATGCAGTTTACTATATGATTAATTTGTCTTGGCACACCTGGTAATTCGTACTTTATTATTTGTTTACATATGTCTATTACAGCATGACAGGTTTTCCACCAGCTCGATAGCCTACCCAGCTCTTTTATCTGAATTTTTGTACGCTTTATATATTTGACTCATTGTCTACTTAATTAGTTCAAAAACGTTATGTATATGTATGCATATTAATTCTAATTTCACTACAGTTATTTGAATTTGTATTCATTCGAAATTACTTATATCATTCGATTAGGGGTAGGGTCCTAGCCCTAGGCATCTTGGCACTACACCACCCTCACGCCCACAATTATACGTCGGAAGGTCACACGACAAACAAGCATGCAACCAGCCTGTTCGGTTCAGTTCGTATCCGGGTTCAGCTGCCGATATTCAGCTGTCTTGACCTTTCCTGGCTCATCAGTATAAAGCACGATTTCTTATGCAATAAAATAACTTTCAATAATCCAACACATTGAATGACTACGTAGACGTTTTATCATTAGATTATTCACTATTATACATTTAATGAATGACATTCACAAACAATTTTCAGCTACCATACTTTTCCAAGTTACTCAAGTTAAGTTGTGATATTAACATATTTTATTTAGCTGAGAAATAAAATGTCCAAAAACACAGTTACCGAATTGATATAGTTGAATAGACTGCTTCCATCTGTCCAAGGCAGCTCTTCTTCGCAAGACACATTGGCTGGACGGAGAGTGGCGCCCCCTTGCAAGGCGTTCAAGCCCCACGCTAAGGCATACACAGAATCGTAGATCAAAGCAGGTTCGGTCTATAAAAAGATACGTTAAAGAAATAATCGAACATTACGTTGTTTTATTATCATTATCACATTCCTGCGTATCCGAGAAGCATATGATATAGATATTAAAACAGTGCCTTAGTAAACAACTAATGATCTGAATAATTTGGAATTTAATGATACACAAGGAATTTGCATTATGTGTTTTATGATAAAAATGATTTTTTGGAACTTAGGCAGAATAAAAATGACGTATATACCTGTTATGCATTCTTGATACGAAATGCCGTATAAAATCGGAGACAGATAACTTTACAGATGCATGTGAGGTACAGATATTTTAACAGTAATTTTCTAATCTGAAAGCATCACACTTATCGCTGAGGCTCATTACGCAAGCTATTAAATCATTAAGTGAACAAAATTATTTTTTAAAATATATTATCATTCGTTTATTTATTTTAAATAAGTCCTTTTGTTGAATAAATGATTCTTATACTAATGCATACAAATTCTTAAGGGGTGTTGGAACCCCAAAATCTTCACAAAATTGTGATTCCGGATTTTTGCATTTTCAAATTCTCTACACTTTTGTCTTTCTAAAAATACCACTTTTTAATCTCTATGAAAATTAGAACTGCAAAAATCTAGTTTTAATTTGTCATCGAATGCTTTGATGAATGATGATTTTTACATAAAAACGCGTGTTTCTCCAAACGTGATTTTTTTAATACTCGATGTACCTTTTCTGAGGAACTACTGCTCACAGGTATCTAAAATTTTTATGGCTTTTTTATTAAGCTTCCTAATATTTACTGAAATGAGCTTTTTTGTGATAAACTAAGAAAAAAAAATTAATTTGTTGTGTGAGAAAAGTGCTAAATTTTACTAGGCCTAACAAAGTATTCTATAAATTATTGTAAAACTCAAAGTGTTTCAAAAGCTCATTCCAGTATAATCACATAGGTACACCTTAATTACACAAAAAGTTTCAAGCGCGTATCTACAGCAGATTTTAAGGAAAGGTATATCGCAAATGGCCAATTTAACGTTGTCAGTATAGGGGTTGCTTAATGATTTTTATATAGTAATACATTCTTATATATTTAATGATTCTTATATATTAATACATTCTTATATATTTAATGATTCTTATATATTAATGTATACAAAAGAAATTACATTGTCTTTTCATGAGCCGAGTTTATTTTGAAGTTGGGTAGCATCTGCAGGTAATTGCATTAGATCGTATGTTGCTTAATTACAGACGCCGAATATTTACAGAATATTATGGGAACTCTATCTCATTCCCTGCTCTCTCCTTTTAGTATTGCATATTATTCCGATTATTTATTGGACTTTGTTACGCAGATTATATCATTATAATTTGAACTGATTTAATATGTATTCGAAAGCTGTTTTCCAGTTAATAATATAAATTAAAAATAAAAGTTTGATAAACAAATATGACAATAATGGAAATTGTTCTGTTTGAAAAAATGCTTTGTTCTACTTGTTCTACTATTATTCTACTTGTTAAAATGCTTTCTCATTCTCTGGCAAAATAATTATAAAACATTCCATTATGATTAGGAAATTGGAGAAACAAAAATTTATATATACTACATGAAATTATCTTACCTTTATAACATTAGTTTTATTAACTAATTTGTGACCTACAGGTTGGAATTTCTCCATTTCCTTGAGTACTTTCTTTACATTACAATTGTCTGTGTCTATAATTCTGTAAGCAGTCATGTTCACAAAGTTGTATTTAAAATCTTCAAGGTTGTACGTCTCTACATCCTGAAATAAAAGATTGACACGAATTACGTCGCAACGCATTAATCAAAAAAATAGTTCCTTTAGGTTCTAAAATTGTAAAAGCATGTACAACAAGATGAACATATACATATAATTTAAATATTAATTTTAGTTCTTCCTCTTCTGTATTTTTTAATTTCAAATCCTATTCCAGTCACATATAGTTTATATTCTTTCTAGATGAGCTTCATACTGTGCCTGTTTCACAGTATTTCACATTCTGAGCATATGCAATTTTACAAACATGCATCACATTTTACGTTCTCAATAGTTCTGACAAAATACAGTGAAACATCTCACGCTATCTTCTGTAAATGACTAGTTCAGAAGCACATAATTCTCATAGCATAAATAAATATCGATGTTTACAACTGTACAATATAACTTCCCAAAATATATCTCATTTTTCTATCAAACGAAAGTTTTATGAGTTATAACAAAAAATAAATGTAAATTTTGAAGTTTAGATAGTGTAAGAAGACTGAATGCTAACTCTTACAGAAGCGTTTTATATAAATGAATTTTAATAAAGAAATATTACAGTCGACGAAAATAAACTTGAAAATCCTTTGTAATGGTATGAGGAAAGCGTTTCAACAAACAATCTTCTGCTAATAAATAGTTTCATTTAATCTTATAAATACATTGAAGCAAAAAGACATAGGAAGTTTAAAAGAATTTAAAACACGAATAACTAAAAACAATATTTGTTTTAATCCGAACGTAACGAGAGTTACTTTCTTTTATGACCTCAATCGACACTGCCGCTGAAAACTCGATATTTTAATATAAAAATAACAGCACTTTTGAAGGTCTAAATTTAAATACAAAATTTAGGCTTCAGAAATAATATATATATATTGTTACGAAATGTACAGAAGCGGTGGGATAGCTTTCCTGCAAAGCAGGTGACGGTTGCCATAAAATAACAAGGACGGCAGAAATGCTACATTTGGCGACAAAATTGGTGATATGCCATGGACGGATGGAGAACCTTCTGGAATGAATTCTTACCGGTTTCGCCCAGAATGTTCTCGAATGCATACCGAAAGCTATATAAATCCTGCTGGTCCGCAGTCAAAGTATGTCCCTTATCGAATGAGAGTGAGTGTGTGCCTCGTCTAGAGAGCTGATAATCAATCATTGAGCGAGTGTCTCGAATTCTAGCGCCGAGATGGTCGTCGAGTGCATCGAGAGAGTCTTTTAGTGTATCGCGATGTGCATCATCGAGTTTTGTCTTAAACTGTGCTGAGTCGAGAGCTATACTCTTGTGTATCGTCGAGTGCATCGCGAGTTGTAGCGTGGAGTGTCTCGAGAGTACGTGGAGCTCAGAGAACGACCAAGCAGAGTCAGAAGCTGTATTCTGGTGCTTTGCAGTGAAGCTGTCTCCACCGTTATTGCCTGACAATGGGAAGACTGTGTCGCTGAACGTGTCAGCGTGTTTATAACAGTTCGACGACTGTAAAAGTGATTTTTGAGCTATCTGATTAATATTGGTAAGTAAAGTGTGTTTCGATACTTCATCAAGAAGTGTCGTTGTTATTCGCTCCAAATCTACGAACCCCGTACGATCGTGAAGGAAAAGAAAAGCGTAACAAGGTGTCAGAAAAGAAAAGCGCAACAGTATATATAATGAGCTAACAGTATGAAGACTTAAATGAGGGAAGCTTACATGTCATTTTCCAACTGCCCAAAGTAACAAGTACAAAAGTAAAGTCCTTATACAACCGATTGACCAAGCAACTGTTTAGAATAAAAAGATGAACTACCGTACCCTTTTTATGCGCTGATGTGTGAACTTAAAGGGTAGTGTCCATTACTTTCAGAAACAATTCACACTGAAAGACGCCAACGTTACTTTGTTTCTCGCTTGAAAAGCTATAAAAAGTATTGTTTTACATCATTTTTCAAGTAAATTGTGACTTATGATCATATTCGTACATGAAGCATGTCTTGGGTTTAAAACACATTCAGCGTTCTTGGCTGACACCTTGTATTTAAATACATGTTCCGGGAAAGTTCGTTTTATTGAAGAGGATGTGGAAGCTTGGGTGGATTTGGACAATATTGTTTCTACCACACAGTTTCAAGATGATAACGAAGTAATCGTGCATGCGCTGGTAAAGGAGAGGAAGATAATGAAAATGATATGGATGTATATATTACCAGCACATGCCCGATCATATATATATATATAAGAAATTCATCATATTTAATTATGATTGAAAAAGTGTCTGACAAATAAATTGAATGTGTGGGAAAATAAAGATTGGTGATTTGTTGAAATTCAGTTTTGTTGCCTTCATCTAACGACCAGCAATGATAGATATCGAAAGCTGTTAAAACTTCCAGTGTTTTCTTTTACGCATTATATATATTTAAATCATAATCATATATATAATTATTTAAATCAGAATATAAATATACACTGCTGGCCATTAAAATTGCAACACCAGAAAGGGAATGTGAAAATTACATGAAAGGAAGAAGAAGTTGGGATATGCAAATGATTAGTATTTCAGCGCATTTAGATGACGCAGGAGGGAGAAACGTCACCTGACGCACTGCATAAAAAAGTTGTGCAGTGGATTTCTCCCTCGAAAAGTGCTTTGTAAGGTTGAAGGTTGCTCAGAATATCATGTTATACCTCGAATAAGAAGAGAAAATGCTTACCAGCAAGTTTCGAAATTCGATAGAGGCAGGATCGTTGCCTATCGAAAGCGTAGATTATCGTTCCGTGATATCGCCGGTCGCACTGGTCGACATGCAACCACTGCCATGCGAATAATGAATCAATGAATTGCTGGAACGGCATACAAGATCTCAACGCCCTCATATCACTAACGCCAGAGAGGACAGACATATTGTGAGGTCAGCTCTGCAAAACCGTACGACCACATCACGGACCATTAGTGAGAAAATGGCCAAGTTTGCAGCAGGCTCTGTATCAGCTCGTAAGGTGTGTCGACGTTAGCAGCAGCGTGGACTATCACCAGGGTGACCGTTACTTCGGCTTTCCTTGACAATGCAGCATAAAGAGAGACGGCGACTCTGGTGCGCCAGATGACAAAGCTGGGTACAGGAGTGGCACAATGACGCTTTTTTAAACGAGTCTCGGTTCTACGTGCCGGTTCTGATGGCCGTATACGTGTCTGGAGTGTTCGAGTAGACCGCACGTCGTCTGCTTGCATTTGATATCGGCATTGGGGTTCTGCAGCTTTGGTGATGGTTTGGGCAGCCATTGGGTACACTACATGCACATCTCTAGTTCGAATCGCCGGTAATTTGAGCGCAGATAGGTACATTTCTGACATTTTATGTCCAGTGGTTGTGCCTTATCTTTGAGGCCTGCCAGACGCTATATTCCAACTCGATAATGCAAGACCATATGTTGCACGTCATATCCTGTCTTTCCTTTATATACAGGGTATTCGTTTGCTGCTCTGCCCTGCGCGGTCTCTAGATCTGTCACCCATTAAAAGCATTTGGTCATGGGTTGCAGAGAGACTGGCCCGCCACCCCTCTTCAGCTAATACGATTAATGAAGTGGGGCGTAGACTTGAAGCAGTATGGAATGAGTTGCCAATTTCTGTCATCCAAGCCCAGTTTAACTCCATACGTAATGGGGTGAGGGCCATTTCAGCTGCCAGCGGTGGCAGCTATTTCTACTAATTTCGCACCTCTGTAAATCTGCAAATTGCTTACAAATTTAATCATTTTGTTTTCTTGCCATATTATTTACATACAACAAATATCTTTTTTGCATCTGCTTTCCTTCATAGTGTTGCAATTTTAATGGCCAGCAGTGTATATATTTAAATCAGAACATTTCTAATTCCTTGTATTTTTATAATTATAATAAATGCCACGTTAAGTTTAGAAAGCTAAGAATTGAAAAAAATTTAAAAGCAGTATCCAAATTGAAATTCAGTCTACAGCATTTCTTACTGAGAATATTATTTTAAAAAGCCATAATAAATATCAATCTTCCCATAAAAGGAAAGTTCAAGCTTTTTTTTTTTTTTTTTTTTTTTGTGTGTGGTGTGTGTGTGTGTGTGTGTGTGCTTATCGATTTATTCATTGCGGCAACGCATGTAATTTAACCTTTTCAGTTCATTTTCTTGGCAAGAGTTAGGGAGTTGGATATTTGGTTTTCATTTTAGTGTTTTTTATAATATCTTTACTGTCTGAGCATTTTTTTAATGGAGAAACTTTATAATATATATTATACAAACTGTAAAGAACGGAATATTTCTTCTTCGAAAAAAGCCAGACTAACAGATTAAAATATATCAAAATGAAATAACAGGTTTTAAGTACTGAATTAGTTATTAATGTTAAAAATGAAATAAATAATAAAATGTAAAGTTATGCAGCTTTTGATAATCAAAATAATTTATACCAGACATTCAAAGAAGGAAATCAGTAGAAAATAGTATCCGAAAAAAGATTAATACATAAAAATACATACGAAAATCCATGTAAAAATTCTAAGAAGTCACAATACATGTACGTAATTAGTAAAAAAATAGTAGAAAACAAAAGGAAATTTAAAATGAGTATAGAATTTTGCTTTCATCTCGACCTTTAACGGCTCGACGGCTTGCACGTTAATCAAAGAAAAGAAAATACTTTTCACTGTAACGTAGCAACGATCATCTTAAGGAATTTTCTAATTTTCAAATTCAAAATATTTATTTATGTTTATGTAGTTTTTCCTCTAGAGGTGTTCTTTACTAACACTCTGATTAGTGATTCCAAATTGTCACTAAGAAACAAACGATAAAATTGTACTCTTCTTTTTATTGCTTAACATTCCTAAATGATTAAAATTCGCCGCTAAAATCCAATCTCTCTCCCTCTCTCTCTATATATGTATATATATACAAGCCTATATTGTAGCATGCATCGATTGCAGAATTCCAATCTTGTTTTCTGGTGGGTTTTATTCATCGAAACTCAAGAATTTCATCAAATTGAAA